TGTAGGAAACCATTTCAAGCACATGGCCAAACCCTAGTGTCCAGGTGGAGGTTCAACCCAACCTGTTCTTTTTCTTTCTTTCTTTTTAACCTGTAATCTCTCCATTTCAGTTCATCTTTCAAAATAAGGATCCCCTTCCCCTGCACCAGTACCTCATTCTGTTTATTTCTGCTTTTCCCAAAATCAGTCATGCATCTTTCCGTATGCAATATGCCCTTTATCTTTCATTTTGCACAAACATTGCAGATAAAAGGGTTTTCACATCTTGGCCAGTGATAAAGCAGGAGCTACTCTTACGTTGAACCTAAGTGACAAAAAGGGAGTGCTTCGGCCTTAAAGTGGACCATTTAAGGGCTAAGAGTTCTTCAGTGCAGAATTGCAAGATATATCAAGTCAGTTTTGTTACCCAAGACGAAAAAGCAAACAGGACCCCATTGTATTTTGTACGGACAAAAGAAGGGGGGGGTATTTTGAGCAAACCAGTAATCTTTCAGAAGTTGATTTTTCAATGCTATTTGGCATATAAGTAGTTTTCTTGGAATTATTTTTGGATTGGAAAGAAATTAAGGCCACGCTGGGTCTGTTTCTATTATTTTGGTCTTTTCTTTGTCAGGCGATTAAAGGCTTAGGCCGCTCTATACATACATTTCCTAGCATGCTTGCCTCTGCCTTGGCAATTGCTGCTGCCCTAGTCCAGGAATGTGCTGTGGCTACTGACACAAGGTTTAGCTTTTCATTGTTGTTTTTAACAACCTGCACAATAAACAGATCTTCCATAGATCCATGTGTGGCTGTAAACATGCCAGGAAACCAAACTGCATAAGCAGAATTCTGGACTGGTTTCACCTCCATGTAGTGTTGGGGAAGCCCTCTGCCAAAAAGCCCACCTGAATCTCTGAGCTGTCCTGTAGAGCTGTTGTCAGTCTGTAAAGATGACACAAGCCTGTGGAGAACCTTGCAATAGTCTGAGAGGTGTGTTTTGAATGCAGAGTAAGCCAAGAGCATCCTTTAATGCAGGTGTGGAGAACCCTTTTCAGCCCTGCATTCAGGCTGCATTCCCTTCTGGGGGGTTCACATGTTAATGGAGGGCAAGCCCAAAAGCCAAATAGGGTAGAGCAAGTCATGTTGATTTTATCTTTGCACAGTAATCTACTTTCTTCACACACTCGATCTCTATCCTCTACCTTTGCAAGCAAGTCCTTATCAGAGGTCCAATGACACATTCCAGCCAGGGGGGAAACACCCAAGGAGGATGTGGCAAGGGGAAAATCCCAAGGGCCATTTAGAGTGGGGGCTAGGAGGGTTGCATTTGGCCCCCAGCCCTCAGGTGTTCAATGCCTTATATCTAGGAGCAAAGAACACATGGCTTGTTGTATGACAGCTTCCTGTGTTCCTAATGGGAGCCCCTGTGGCAGCCATCCCACTATGAATACATCTTAGAGGGGAAAATGTTGTCTAAATATTCTATCGGAAGTACTTTAAGGTGGACTACAAGGCTGCTGCACTCACAGCCCATTCAGGGTGTATATGGTGAACAGTGTTGCGTTTGCTTCAGTGTTGGAAGACCCAGTTAAGCTGAGTGTTGGAAGACTCAGGACAAATGAACAAAAAGCACTGCTTCACAAAGCAGATACAGTAGTTGAAACTGCGCAGTCCACTCCCACAAGAGGGAATGGTGGCCACCATCTTGATGGCTTTAAATTTATAGAATATAAGGCTATAAGTCACTACTAATCCTGGTGACTGTTCTTACTTCACAGCTGGTGACATTATGCTTCATTTGCTGGAGAGTACCGGTGCACTTTTTGTCCTGCTTATAGGTATCCCATAGGCATGTAGTCAGCCATTGGGCACAGGGTGGGCCACTGGCCTGATCCAGTAGGCTCTTCTTATGTTCATATGTAGGTCCTCTTCCCCTTCAAGTTTAGAGATGAGCAGACCATGATAAAGCTTTCACATCCAGGCAGTCAAGTTAAAGCCACAACAGCATTACTCAGATTTCAGCCCACTGCAGGGAATATTACCAAGCAGATGCTGGGATCATAGGTGGGTGGAACATACAGATAACTGTTTCTGAATTGGACTTAATGATGAGAATGCAGATCTTATATGACAGAGATGGGAGACCTTTGTCCTTCCAGATGTTGCTGGACTTGAACTCCATCAGCACCCAGCCAACATGGCCAATGGTCAAGGATAATGGGAAAGGGATTAGTGGTGGGGAAGGGAGCAATGGAGCCTAATTCTTTTTTAAAAAAAAGACTTCCAAATTATTTTTGGTGATAATTTGATATTGGGCACATGTGTTTCCCATGAGATATGCTGAATAGGCGTAAAGGAATAATATCAAATGACCTCACTTCTCTGACACTTTGCTGGCTCAGCTTCGCATACTTAAAATCAACCATCAGGCACTCTCTCCTTCTTCCCTCTCATTCAGGCAGATGGATACAGAAGTGTGAATTACTACTTCTTGTGAAAGTCAGAAATTCTATTTGTGTGCTTTTATACGGCTAAAGTCAGTTTTACTAGAATGCCAAGCACACAAACTTTTTCATGCTCCACATGTGGGTCATGTTCATCATTACAATGGAAAGTGGTATGTCCCTCTAGAGGTATCCCTTGCATTTTAATGAGTATTTTGCTTGTGTTTAATGAAAGAGGCTCCTTATTTATTTATCAACCAGTTATGTCCTTGGACTCAAAGCTGTTCTCATCTTAGGAGGATGGGTCACATAATAATATTCTACCTAATAGCTAGTAGCCAACAAAAGCCTGTGCAGAAAAAAATGTTTTGTTCTGCTTTCAGAAGATGCATGAGTTCTGGCTCGTGCATCTGTCTCCCAAGGGAAGATAGTTTCTCCTGGCTTGGTGCATGGATATTTCCCTTAAGAGAATGCTGCACCTTCAGTTGTAAAAAAAAAAAAAAGGAGGATGGGTCATAAAAATGGAGGTGGCTTCTTCGATTCAATGGGACCAAGCCATTTATTTGTTTTGGGCCTTGGAAATCACAGGGGTTTCCAAACTTTGGGGGCCTGTCAGAACATTTGTGACAACTGGGGAAACTTCTATAGGCACCACACCCACAAGCAAGCAACAAGTGCAGCTTTTCTATTTAAGGAAGGACATCTTCTTTGTAGATAGACGGTCCCAGGTTCAGTCCCCGAGGGTACTACATATTCTCTCTTTCTGTTGTAAACAAATTTCATTGTTCTCAAAAAATCTAACACATATCAAATTGGAATACAGTGATCCCATCCTATTACAGGTGGGAGGAACCAGTAGCCTACCCAAAAATATAGGCAATGCATATAAGGGCAATAATAGTGTGTAGCATATGTTGCAAGAAAATAATGATAGCATTTGTGTAAAGCAAAGTCCAGGAAGAATGAGCATTTATGGCACCAAGAAAGTAAAGTAAGATTTGGGAGGAAAACAAAGGGCACTAATGTATGTCAGGCATTCAAAATTCTTGCATAGTGTGATGGCAGACAGGCACTGCTTTCTCAACCACTGCAGAAAGCAAAATCTGTTGCACTGGAAATCCAGATCTTTACCCTGAATCTATAACTTGTAGCACAGGGTGGGGAAAGAAACATGGGATAAGTGTTGCAATTTGAAACAGAGAGGCCTTAAAAATGTTTTATTTTAGTACTGTGTTTTACAAAGACACAAGTGAATAACTAGCTTCAGATGAAGACTCCCCAGGGCATCTCTACAGAATTTTAATGCACCTATTGCTCTTTCTATACAACCCTGGCTGCAGTGTGTGGGGGACGGGGGGGGGTGGAATAAACCATAGCATTAGTTTAAATAATTTTTTACAATGTTTACATGCAAATATTAGAGCTGCCTAATGTCCTTCATCTGAGCATAAATTATGAATGTGAGGCTCAAAAAAAAAAATGGAGGACTGCACATTTCTGTTGGTAAATTATTTAAACAATTGCTGTTTGTTTCTGGAAGCCGCATTCTAACAGGTTTGGACATGTGACAATAAATTACATTTTATTGGGCTACTTGCTCATAATCCCTGCATCCTACTTAGCTTAAAAACCTCAGAGACCAATTGAAAAATTACAGCATGCAAATACTCATCCCCATTGATTCTGTAGTAGCCTCCTTTTATTTGAATGGGAGTACGCAGGAGATGGAGATTGATGATTGAAAGTCTAATCTTCTAGGTTTATAGAATAGGCCAAGAATGGGTTTGGGTCAATCATTGCTTGAACAGAATGACAGAGTTATGGTTTCTCCATGGCTTTCCCCCATATTTTTTTAGTAACATGAAATCACATGGAATGATCCAGTGTGGTGTAGTGGTTAGAGAAGGCTTCCTGAAACTCAGCCCTCCAGATGTTTTGAGACTACAATTCCCATCATCCCTGACTACTGGTCCTGCTAGCTAGGGATCATGGGAGTTGTAGGCCAAAACATCTGGAGGGCTGAGTTTGAGGAAGCCTGAGTTAGAGTGTCAGACTTGGACCTGGGAAACCTAGGTTCAAATCTCCACTCAGCCGTGAAACTTACTGGGTGACCTTGAGGGGCCAGTCAGTGCCTCTCAGCCTAACACTACTTCACTGGGTTGTTGTGGGGATTGAGGAGGCAGGAGAACTTAGTGCACCTTCTTAACCCTGATTCTATCTGCATTGGATGTGAAGTCAACCAACTCATTTTCATTGCTGGATGTAATCGGCTTGCATACATGTTTAGTTCTTATTTATATTTTTATGGGGGGGGGTTCTTTTTAATTGCTTATTGTTTCAAGGGAAGCAATTCAAAAGCAAAGTAAATAAATATGGGCTGGTGAGCTAGTTGGATAAAGGCAAAGTTGACTTCCCGGAATTATTTCTGTTGAAACTCTCTTTTCCGAGTCAACTGGGAGTCAAAGCTGAATGAGAAATTCACGTACCTTTAAAATCAACCAGAGCAGAAGTAGTGACAACCTGGTGTCTCCTCAGAAATGTTAACAGCCAGTATGTGTCTTTTTCTATTTGCAGTGGCCTTGTGTCGCCAGCAGCACACAACCCAGTCTTAATACATTCCAGTGGAGGTTCTGGGAGCTCCAGTGAATCTGAAAGCAGCTCGGAGTCCGATTCAGACAGTGAAACCAGCTCCAGCGACAGCGAATGCAACAAAGAACCACGCAATGAAACGCCAAAGGTAAAACAAACAAACCAAATCCCAAGGTCCAAAAGTGTGACCCTTCAAAATCTCTCTATATGGGATCTGCAACAAAAAAATGCAGCAAAGTAATGTTCCACGGCATTCCCTCTGCCTTCTGGCTGTCCTTTCTCTCCTGAACAGTCAGAAAGCATTCCATGCCCACAGAGGAATGCCAGAGGTAAAAACTTAATCATGCAGTTGAAAGCCTGAGGTAAAAACCAAAGGTCTGACGCCCTTCCCCTCCAAAATTCATTTTTATTTCATTTCATTCATTTATACATCTGGGACCTGAAATGAAACATTGCAGCAAAATGATACACTCTCTGCCTTCTGATTTTCCTTCTTACCTGTAAGCATTCCATGGCCACTGAGCATGTTCAACCATGTTTTGAGGCTGTTTTGAGGTGCTCCCTCTTAGGGTTATTTTTTATCAAAGTTTTTTTTGTATTTCTTCAAATTCAGAAATTCCCCCCAAACCTGCTGATAATTTCCACCTCAACCCCCACCCCTTCTCTCCTCTCCCCGCTTTGGCTACCTCTGGACCAGCACTAAGAGTCTCGGCCCACATGTAATGTTAAGCTATGGTCAGTGTAAATTGTTGGGGTGGCTTCAACTGATCAGTTTAAACTATGGTTCAGTAAACCTTCGTTTATCAACCATGGCTTAGTGTTACATGTGAACCAGGCCAGAGAAATGAGTTGACTCCTAGTGTATATGGTGACTATGATGATCAGACATGGTCTTTGCAAATAAATATTCACATCTCTTTGCAAATGTTTAAACCTCTTAAGCTTTTAGAGCAATAATGCAATTCACTTGGGGTTGCCAGTTGATGGGGCAGGGTGAGGAATGTTGCTCAGGTTCAGACTCACTACTAGAAAAGCTGGTAACTTTTCAGAAACAAGACTTCTCCCTCTTTCATCCTTCTGCAGCCTGAACCTCCCTCAGCAAACAAATGGCAGTTGGTGAAGTGGTTAAATAAAGTCAATCCCCACAACAAAATGATCATCAGCAAGCAGCATGAGAGTCATGGTGAAAGCAGCTCTCAATCTCAGAGCAACTCACAGGCTGAAGGACAAAACAAAGGGAAAGCGGCTAGCACCCTGCCTGTGACTGATTCCAAAGACAGGGCACTCCGTAACCCTGTTTCAGAGAAAGCCAAACCCCGTGTTGCCCAGAAAGCTCCGCCAGAGGTGAAGAGTTCCAAGCAGAAATCACCAGCTCACAATGAACCCACCACCCAAAGGACTACCGGGAAAAAGCAACCCAAAAAGATAGAAAGGACTTCCAGCGTAGAAGACTACAATTGGACCAAACCAAATATTACCAGCACACCCAAAGAGAAGGAAACACAAGAATCCCAAGAGCAGCCAAAAGTCCGCCCAAAAATAACTGCCGGAAAGACCGCTCCACGTAAAGAGCCAAGAATGACTACAGGGCCAGCGCCCGAGAAGAAGAAGTATAGAGGCCCTGGCAAAACAGTTCCCAAGTCTCGGGAATTTGTGGAAACAGATTCCTCCACATCTGACTCAAACACCGACCAGGAAGAAAGCTTACAAGGCAAGAACCTGCCATCTTGCAGTGGCCCCAGCAGTGGCACCAAAGCCAAGAACTCCAGCAGCAATGTTCTCAGTGTCAGCAGCCTAACGAGCAATAGCAGCAATGTGTCCGTTGACCAAAGCAATGACTTGGAGGAGCTTCTATCCCCAATACAACTTCTGCAGAGTGAACCCATTTCTCCCCTAAGAGAGTTTGAAGGGCGCAGGCACCTCTGGGTGAAGATAGACCTGGATCTAATCTCTCAGGCCTCCAATCAAAGTGTCTTCGAGGCCATGCCCAGGAAAATGGAGCCCTGGGAGGCCAACACGAAGCACAGGCGACAGTCCCGAGAGTCCCCAACACCAGCGCCCGAAAAACCCAACCCTAAGTTGAAGAGGAAGCACAAGGTAAACCAAACACAAACACTCTCTCTCTCTCTCTCTCTCTCTCTCTCTCTCTCTCTCTCTCTCTCCAGGCTTGCAGTTATTTGCCACTTCAGTTTCCAGATAAATACTGAGGTGACTGTAATAATAATGATTTATTATTTATACCCTGCCCATCTGGCTGGGTTTTCCCAGCCACTCTGGGCGGATTGCAACAAAATATTTAAAAATACATTAAAACATCAGTCAGACTCAAAGTAATCAGTATAGTAAAAAAAAAGGGGGGGAGCACAATCCATACATGATGTAGTGTTCTGCAGGTAAGTGCCTCACTCAGCTACCCCACCATCACCACCACCATCCCAATGTATCTGCTGTCATGCAGGAAGGATGGCAGACAAATAATAAAGGTTGCAATGTTTGAGTGTCCCCCCTTTTTTTTTCTTTTTGGTTTAGCATATTCTCTGGGCCACACCTTCAGAATAAAAATTTGCTCATTCCCCACCAATTATTTTTTTTAACTGATAAGAGATGCACTGGAAAACAAAAAGAAACAACTCCTATCAGTGCTTGATTTAAAGCATATAACACAACTACTATGTAATATCTTCATGGGGACTTCCTGAAAGTATGAAACAATGCAGCTCGATGAATTATGGATCGTTCCCGAAATATAATTACAAACAAGCCTCTTAAGCTTAAGTATGTATACAAACTCAGTGAGAGGTGAAAGCCTGACACTTTCTCTCATTTTGAAAATATATCCAACCATATTCTGCAAATAAAAAGAAAATCGTTTTGATACTATGTTATACTATATTACCCTGAAAAATTTAAAGCAGAAGTTTCCAAACTTTTCATGTTGGTGACACACTTTTTAGACATTCATCATTTTGCAACACAGTAATTCAGTTTTACTAGCAAAACAGAAGTTAAACTAACCCCTTATAAGAGCATTCAAGCAACACACCTACACATTGCACCCAACACACTAACATGTTGCAACACGCAGTTTGATTGTCCTTGAATCTTCCCATCACACTTTCCATCCCGTTCCACACCAGGGTGGTGCACCACAGCCTTTGAGAACCACTGGTTTAGAGTAAATGTATGCTTGGGGGGCAGGGGACATGATAAAATTATTCATGATGTGGAGGAAGTGAATAGAAAGAGGTCTTTCTCCCTTTCATACGTTACTAGATCCCCTAGTTATCCAATGAAGCTGAATGCTCAGAGCTTCAGAGCAGGCAGAAGGAAAGACTTCAAATGTCAGGTTCTACAACTGCTAGAAAGTTACTTTTTTTAAAAAATAAAATATGGGAATTTAGGAATTATGGTCCATCAAGCAGGGGAAATGACTGATGGTGACGGCGACCAACTTTAAAATGGAAATTGACAAATTCATGGAGAGTTAGTCTATCAGTGGCTACTAGTCGTGGACCTTGTGTCTATGGTGGACTTGATAAGTCTTTGGTCCAATACAACAGGGCTCTCCTTAGCTTTCTAGGTGAGAGGTGAACTGTAGAAAAGACTGTAAAATGTCTATTCTGGGATTTGCCCGATGCTGATATATTTTAAGTGCCCAAAGAATCGAGCCCAGATTTGGCTCCAAATTAAATGGGCAATGCCTCCATTAAAACCAGCAAAGGTTTCGCTATTTTGCTGTGACAGTTGCCGAATTATGCCTTGAGAGTATGTGGGTTTTCCTACATAAACAGCTGTGATTTATCAAAATGCCATTCACTTAACTCGCAGTCCTCCCTTTCTGCAACAACTACCTGTAAAGTGGAATCTATTGTGATTCGAACGACAATGCTTTATCATGTGTTCTATGTTATTTTTGCCCAGGGGCATCCTGTTATGTGGGATATGACAGCATGCTTCAAACTGAAATTTGTTTGTTAGAAAGGAAGCAGGGGTTTTATATCAAAAAATGAGTATTTGCAGAGTCTGAAGGATCTCCATCTCCTCCCACCCCCTTTGCCTGAAGCAGCTCTATTTCTGGTATCAGAGTCCCAACAGCTTCGTGGTGTTTAAAGGGGGGGGGTTGTAAATCCCCACAAATGTGATGTCAGCCATCACTACCATTTGTCTTCTGAGAATGCCAGCTTCAGAACTGTGTAAAGGAGAAGAAATCCAAGCAAAAGGCATGCCTTCAACCCTGTGCTAGCAGTGAAATGAGTTTGCAAGCCACCATCTCCCTGGTCTGTTTCACAGAATAATATGGGAGTGATGTGGTGCTGGTAGTGTTGGTTGCATCTGTCTCTGAAGCCTGTGTTGCAGCTTGGTCTTCCTGGCTTGACAAACCAGGAAGTGCTTGAGTTCAACTCTCAGGCGCTTGGCATGTTTGGTTCAAGCAGAATTTTGGCTGCAGAGCTTGCTCTCTTTGAGCCTCTTTAATAAAGGTGCCACTTGCCTGTGTGCCCTCCTCTTCAATATATGCAATACTGATAAGGATGCATTTGAGTCACAAAATGCTGACTCTTTGCCAAGAAAGAGATGTAGGCAGGAACAAATCATCTGTAATTTTTATATCATGAAAACTCATCAGCATCAGTACAAATTTCTCCTAAGATACACATTTTGTATGCAGTTATAACTAATATACACATTTTTATTGATTGATATAACAAGCTTAATAAACAAAAACAAAGTGGTGGTGCAAGAATAATATACAAACAGTTTCCCCAAATATGGTGCATTTTTATATACACTAATATATGCAATTTTGTGCAGACTTGGAGAACTGCACCACAAATTTCAGAGACATGCAGGAATTCATAACTTCGTTGAGTTTTGGCTTGTATATTGGTTAGAGAAGTGTGGCTTGGTAATTTCTCACCAGTGTAGGAGGAAATTGAATTTTTTAAAGTATTTTTTGACCAATCTGAAACTGCCTGTCTGGATGCAACCTTACTTAAAGTTACTTGAGAGATTCATTGTGATTTCTTGCATTCTGCAATAGTTGGTAATGTTGGTGTTATGAGATTTTGTGTTTATAAAGTCATAATTGACTGGTTTTTGTTTTTCTGGTTGAAGCAGTCTGAAAACCAAGACACAATTGGTGAAAACAAGAAACAGCGTCTGGAGGAGGCTGCTGCAATGTGTTCACTTCCACCCTGCATCTCCCCAATACCCAACCACAGAGTACCAAGTACTAAAGAGTAAGTTATTCCTAATATTAAGATGGTCCTTTACAGCATGGTTGTTCAGATCCAGTTGTCATAGGGAAGCCTCTCCTTACCATTTACCAATAGGCCCAGCTTTACCATTAGGCTGAATTAAGTTGCTGTCTCAGTCAGCTGGCTTTGTGTGTCATGAAATGGCCAAAAATAATAGAGGTGTTTGTGTGATTGTCTGTCTCATGGCCAGCCTTGGGTACCTTTGCACTATGACTGTGTGTGTGTGTGTGTGTGTGTGTGTGGTAGGTAGGTGGGTGGGTGTGGATTGCTGTTCATCCTCAGCTGCAGGAAGTGTTGGGCCAGCCCTAAATATTCCTGTTATACAAAATAATCTTACAACATCTCTTTATGGCCGCAGTGGACTTTTCTGTCTTACACTAATGGAATGCAATTTGCATACTTTTATAGGTGACAAGAATTTCTTGAGCTGCCTGTCTTTCTAACCAGAATGCTAAGGAGAGGATTGTGGGAATTCCTTAGAAACTATTTGAAACTGTTCATGTTAATTGGGTTAATCTTTTTGGACTTGGTCCCATCAGCCCCAGCTAGCATGGCTAATGGTCAGGGACGCTGGGAGTTATCGTCCAAAACATCCAGACGTCCAGAGGTTCCCAATCCCTGAGTCAGCAACAGTTTTGCAAATATTCTGAATAGTGTATATACAATATGGGTGCAACATTTCAGTCGCGTTGTTCATGTTCCCTGTTTGTAGCGTGCACAAGGAAGAACACCCTTATAATTTGTTAAGTATCAACATGCTTAAGAGAATGAATACCTTTTTGAACCTTCAATTGATGTCCCAGTTAAAAGTGGCTCAAAACCAATATAGCTCATTACCAGTCATGTTGACCCTTCTTTCCCATATCTCTCTTCGTTGAGGCAATTCTTAATACTATACATAACTATTACTACAAGCATCATGTGGGAGGGATCAATATCCCCCACCTCGTGTGCCAGCTTTATCCTTTTATTAATTTTAAAGCTCTTACTTTGGACTTATTATAGCAAAGATATTTGCGTTATTAAATAATCCCACAATTAACAGGTAAATCATCTCCTTTAAACCCACTGTGAACCAAATCAACCAGTTCCCAAACTCGCTTATGTCTATGTAATTACTATTTCCACTTAATGACAACAGTGCAGAGTTACAATATTTAAATCCCCCATTTCTCAAGTCTGAAAAAGACACTGATAGTTTTGATGGTGTTAGATGCATTTTAAAATGATACAAATTTTCTCTGTGGCATTTCTTCAAACACATAAGTTTATCTTTCTCTAACACTTACATTATTTTTTATGAATCTTTTATTTCCTGCCTCCAAGCCTTAGGGATCTACCCCCAACCAACCTGATGTTTCTTAATTTGAGCTTGTTTTCTAGGTCATTAATTTGATTCCTTAGAGCTCTGAAACCATTGGTATCTTCTGTTAAAATATAATTGTGCTCATCAATAGTTATTTCCCCTATGCTAGCTTTCCATTCCCCTGATCCCAGATGCTCCTAGTTGCCAAGCAAAATTTTTCAACTTTCTTAACTCATATATTTAACTAAGACCACGATCACATTGCAGTTTATTATTAATCTCCTCCAAGTTAATATTTAACCCAATCCACTTTGATAACTTAGTTCCAGAGGAGCACACAAATACAAAAGTTTAAAGCAAGGAATCGCGAATATCCACCAAAAAGAATATATGGAATATCTGGCAGCAAAGTGACTTTGCTGAGGTTATTATAATGGGCTACACTGACTATTCCCCCACTTTCATTTTCGAACAAATAATAGCCATTTCAGAGTAGGTTGAACTATTTCTCCAATATATATAATTGTGAAAATAACCACTCTTTTCACTGGTTGCTACAGCGTCAGTACAATTGTTGGGGAGGAGGGTTCACAATTACTTTTCCCTTCATAGACAAGTCAGATGGGTGTCCTCAGCCAATTGGGAGGATGTAGTGAATGTGCTCCCATCACAGTGCTATACGATGGTGTCATTGTGGGCAAATAAAATCAATTCAAATTGAGAGCAGGAATGCAGAGTAAATTAATAGGTGGACACTTCTAAAGCAATTGCTGGACATTGTCAGCAACGTGAAGTGCTTACTCTCCATGCTCATGGACTTCACCAATATTCATCTTCAGGTTCTTCTTTTTACTGTTATTTCTTAGTCTCAGAACCACAGTTTTCTAGCTCTCTGCACAGCCCTACACGTTGCAAGGATTCAGTTCCTAACTGGATTAATGTTCTCTCTGGGCAAACCAAATCAGACTATTTACTCATCTTTTACTCCCATGCTAAGGAACCAATCCAATGTAGTTATCTCTTATTTTTAATTACTGTTGCAGTTTTTTATTATTAATAATACTTATATGCCAATAATATGTGAAATCCCTAAGCACTCTATATAAAACACAATGAGATCATTATAAAAGAAAGTTTGTGTGTGCACACACACATTTTATAACCAAAAATGCAAAGAAATATAGCAGAGACTCCGCCAATAAAATATGAATTAATAATTATTCATAGATGTCTCCCATCAGGGGCAGACTTTGGTCTTTCAAATTCCAGCAGCACCCTGTGCCAGGCCCAGATTTGGTGCCCTCCCTGCCTCTCACCTTCCATTCTGCTCAGTGATAGTCCCTTCCAACTACATGATTCTTTGATTCTGAACTTACCATCCCCAGAGAGATAAAATGCTAATGGGGTACAGGAGCTTCCTACACTTTGGGATTCCATTATTCAGATGCTACTGCAGTGGCTTGGGATCCACCCAAAGGACTGTGGGACAACATGAGAATTAGGGTTTAGGAGTTTCTCACACAGATTAGAAACCCTTCCCTCATCTACAGACATACTTGGAAAGGTTAAATGAAATCTATTCTTTGCCACACATTCAACCCCCCTCTTACAAAGGTTTGGTTAAAGCAAGTTGAACATGGGAAGTTAGATTTCACCCATTCAGACTCTTGATCCATCCAGGTCAGCATTTTTACACCGACCAGATGCTGCTCTCCATGTTTTCATGCAGTGACCTTTCCCTGGAGATGCCAGGGGTTGAAACTGCAATCTTCTGCATGCAGAGGATGTGCTCTACCACCAAGCTGTTGCCCCTGCCATAGCAAATTATTTTGCACTCAATTCTCTTGAATATGTATTCTTAGCTAAGAATCGGATAGATGAATAGATAGATAAAACATGTGAGGAAGAAGGGCAATTAAATGCCCATTTTGATGAAACTGGTTTTTAATTTGCTAATGGCCACAATTAGGGAATAACTGGAATAGATGCTACTATTGCGAAAGCTCTGGAAGCATACTGCCAGCTGAGGCCATTGAATTTCCCCCAATCGAGAAATCAAGCTGCTTTGCTTTCCTTGTTCCTCTTTGATTTGTTGCTTTGAGGTATTGTAAATCTATAACTGCCTGACACTGACTTAAATTGACTAAGAGGGAGACATAAATTCTTGTTGACTTAATTTGCTATTGAAAATTTGAGTCAATAATCATGAAAAGTAAATGGCTGTAGAATGCAATATGAGTTGTCTAAGGAAAAATTAAAATTCAAGTAATCTTCATTGACTGGACTAGGGCAGTAACTAAAATAATAATAATAATAATAATATAATAAAATCCATGGTCAAATTAACATGTTAAGAAATCAGCTGGGTATATTTGCCTCTCCTTTTTTTTTTTTTTTTTTACAGCTAAGGTTTAAATGTCAGTCTTTTTTCCCCCTAGGGGTGGTGGGAAAACATTTCCAAGGCACTAGATCATTTATTCATTTAGTGAAACAATTATTATGCTGCTTAACCACAATAGCCTCTAAGAAGCTTACAAAAACACAATACCAAAAAACAACAGTTAAAACTATAAATTCAAACATCAATTAAAATGCCCGTTAAAATGAAAAAAACAAAAAAGGATTCAGTAAGTGCCAGGAGTTCAACAGAGAAGGGGGCCTTTCTAACCTCAACTAGAATAAAATTTCATAAAATTGGACCCACAATATTGAGCAAATTGTTCCTGTTGGGTACAAACTGTGTGCCTGAGCCATGGAGAATCGCTAACAGTGACTCCCCCCCCCCCAAAAAAAAAAAAAATAGTCAGGGAGATAAGGGTTAAGACAGCCCCTGAGGTAACTTGGACTCAAGTTGTTAAGGGGCTTGTAAATTAATACAAGAATCTTAAACCTGGGCTGGTAGTGGATGGGCGTTCAGTGCAAGATTTCGAGCACTGGACTAATGTGCTGGCAATCATCTGTCCCCCATCAGCAGTCTAGCTGCAGTGTTTTGCACCAACTGGAGCCTCTGAAGAGCAATTACTATATTAGCCATTTTGGATGGACCCAAGTTGCAGGGCATACTTTTGGAGTGCCTCAGCTATGTAGAGCAAGCACTTAGACACAGCACTGTCACCTGACATTCACGGGGAAGGTACACATGTGCCTTCTGAATGCAGCTGCCGCTGCTGCTGCAATAGCAGCAGCAGCAGCTTCAGGAAACTCTTGGAAACCCAGGGCCCAGAACTTGACCAGCGGGAGCTCCTGTTGACTCAACAGGAGGCACGGAAGAATCTGGCTGGAATTTGCCGGTGTCAACGCATCCCAGGTTATAACAACAGGTCCTTCTTTCTCGCTTGGCAGCACCAGCTCAGCGAAAAAGGCAACAAAGAAAAGGGAAGAGAAGCTGTTTCCACCCCCGTTGTCTCCTCTGCTCAATGAGACGGCAGCCCGGCGGAGCAGCAGCAGTGGCAGCTCCTTTGGCCAAGAGAACAACCTCTCAAATCCCTTGCAGGCCAGCACCTCCTCCAAACACCGGAAAAATGAGAACAAATCCGCTTCTAGCACAAAGGGGAGCTGTGTAAGTCACTCAGGGACACTCGAGAACAGGGATTCCCTTGTACCAGAGCAAACTGTTGCTCCGCCATGCCCTGTCCCCAGAGTAGCCAATGTGGCGTTCTCCCGATGTTGATGGATTCCAGCTCCCATAATCCCTCACTGTGGGCCATGATGGCTGTGTGGCTGATGGGAGTTGGGGGGATGTCCAAATAGGATCTATACTGTTTGCTACAGGTTGGCCAAACAGAGTCAATGATGGGCTGAAAGTGTTCCAGGGAAAACTTGGGGGCAAATTTGGGGGGACTTTTTGGCAAAGGGGTGCAAGGGGGGAAGTGCAGAATTGACTTCCCTTTCTTACTATGCCTGTTTTGCAACAGTGATCATTCCAAGGTGGGAGGGGAAAATATTGACCTCCACCAGCTGCTACCATTTCCCCACTGACTCCCCTCCCCATTAGAGCAGCACTATATCATGATGCGATGTTGTTTGGGGAGAGGGGCAGTGGGGGTGGAAGTGTTAACCGCCATTTGGCATCCACAAGGGGGGAAAGGGTCACCACCAGTAAGTTCACCCTTTGCTCAGTTTTGCAAAAATGGAAAGAAAAAACCCGGGTCAGCATTTGTATGTGGAAAATTGCAAGGGGAAGATTGTCCTTCACCCCAGGAAGCAAAATGCCTTGGGCTGGGCATGCTTTTTTATAATGTCCTATAGCAATTTAATACAATTAAGTCATTATTTTAATGGATGTTGATTTAAATGTGTAGGGGAGGAAGTTTGTGAATTATTTTTCAGCGGCCGTCCCACTGCTTATCCCCAGTTCCAGCCCTAATCATCGGATCCTGTGAGTCTTTCACTTGCCATTCATCTTCTTTCCACTTTATTTTAATAAGCAAGCGATGCTACAAGGCGTCCATGCTGACATTACACCTTCCTAGAAGTGGGTGTTAATGATACCGTGCGTGTGAGCAATATGTAGCTGCTTGTTCTTAATTAATCTATTGAGCTTGACTTGTGACATAAGGCTGCGAGATGCAAAATATGTGCCTTGGTTTTAATTTTGAGACACACAAACTTGCTTAACACGACATCTAGAGATATTATTAGCACGAAAACCAAAGCCGCTAATTAAAAATCACTTTCTGCAGGAGGAAGATTCCCACAGCAGGTCCTCAAATGCTCTGCCCGACACCAGCCACCCAGAGAGTAGCATCTGGCCTGCCACTCCTGCCTTCACCAATGGGAATCGTGATCCAAGGAGACCTAAAATAACATTTGATGATACGTAAGTAGTTAGATCAAAGCTACGCAGCCATTTCCTGTTCATGCTTTAAATTGTCAGAGCCCTGCAATTGCCTAGATTTGAGGCACAGACTCTAAGAAAATGTGGGAGTTGCCTGTAACTGCAGCAGCATCTGACATGGTACCCTCTGGATTTGTTGCTGGACTCCAGCTCTTAGGAATATAGGAATCTGCCTTACACTGAATCAGACCCTGACTGGCAGCAGCTCTACAGGGTTTCAGACAGGGAGCCTGTCCCAGCCATACCTGGAGATGCCAGAGATTGTACTTGGGGCCTCCTACATGCAAGGTATGGTCCTTCCCAAATCTAAGCATCCCTGAATCCAGGGATTAGGATGGCAATCATATGTGTGCACTTAACTGAAAGTAAGCCCCACTGAATTCGTTAGGACTTGGTGCCCCAGCCAACATGGCTAATGGCTAAGGAAGATGGTGAGTTGTAGTTAAGCAAAATCTGCAGGGTCAAGACTTCCTCATACCTGATCAAACCCTCCATGTGGTCCATAGCCTCAATCTTCCCCATGACCACCATAATGACTATTTAAACTACAAAAACTAGGCACGCTCAGAGTATTCCTGCAACTAGCATCATGACTAGTTTTGCCCTTAAGGCTATGTCTCATCTTCTCTCCCTGTGCCTCTTTTAACTGGAGAGTCCAAGGATTGAACATATACCCTTTTGCATTACCACTATTGCCACTATCCTCATTTAGGTATTTGTGTGGAATTTTAGCTTGACCATCATGTTAGAACTATATACGTCTTCTCTTTTTCCTGTTGTATAATTTTACATTTTAGCTTTTCTAATGGAACCTTGTTACGGTTAATCACTTTGAATTGTTTCTCTTTTCCTTCTGTTCAGCAAAGTTTAATAGGCCCCTTTGGGCTCCTGGTTTCCACAGTTAGCCATTTTGCAGCCAGCTCATCAATCACTTCTTTGCATCCAGCAGCTTAGCACTGATAAGACTGAAAGAAGCAAAAATAAATGGGCGCTTCTCCTCCTGGAAACCAGTCAGCGCTTTTTATCAGATATTTGACATACAAGAGCATTCTACAAACATAAGGCTTAGCCATGGCTTCCACTTAACTGCAGTGAAGCGTTGTATCTAAATACCTAAACAGTGGTTAATAATTGGCTGCAAGCCAGGAAGAGAGCTTATTTGTTGAGGCATGAGTTTTTAAATATTATTTGTCTTAACCACGGTTAAGCATTACATCTGCATTGAACAAGCCATGGTTGCAATAATTCCCTCATGCCTCAAGGCTCTCTGGCATCTCTAGGTCTCATCAGTGTCTCCCTCCAGGGGGCAGAGCCTAGATCATGACAGTAAACCATTGTTTGTCTATGTTTTGGATCTTAATCAAGGGAGATTCAGTATCAGATAGTGGGCACACTGTCAGGCGAGAAGAACAAAGGGGCCAGAAAGCTCATCAAGTGCCCTTGGGCCAGTCACACTCTCATCCTAGCCTGCTTCATGATAAGGTGACAAGGATAAAACAGGACTGGAAAGCCATGTACGAGGGCAATAGTTTCTTGGAATAATTAAAAAACAACTGATCAAGGCAACAAGTCCTGTCAGTATTAAGCTTCAGACATCAGCTAAAAACCACTTAAGCTTTCCCTAGAGCATAGTACAGCCATGTGTATCGATGAACAATTTGTTTCCTTTCCTTTTTCTTTTTATGCCACACTAGCTCCCAGTCTGTTTGTTTCCAGGCACAATTCAAAGTGCTGGTTATGACCTATAAAGCCCTATAAAGGTTCAAGCTCTTTGAAAAACCATATTCCCCCATAGAAACCTGTCTGGGTTTTGAGAACTTTCAGGGAGGCCCTTCTCTTAGTCCTGCCACTCTCGCAGGCATACTTGGTGGAGATGCAGGAGAGGGCCTTCTCGGTGGCTGCTCCCAGACTCTGGAACTCCCTCCCTAGAGAAACTGGACTGGCTCCCTCCTTGCTGTCCTCCTGCCAGCAGGTGAAGACTTTCTCATTCCAACAGGCTTTGGGAAACTGGCTGCTTTTCATGAAAGCCCTGGTGCAGTGTTGCTGTTTTTTTTATAACGATCTGCCTGTTTTTTTAAATATATCTTTTATATATAGTTTTAATTCTGTTAATGTTTAATAGTTTTATTTATTTTTCCTATGTTTTTAGCTGCTCTTATTTTGTCTGTAAGCTGTCTGGACTCCCTGTCAAATAAAAAGGCAGGGTATAAATGTGTAAGGATATTTGTGAGGATTTTGTTTTTCACCACATAAAACATATGTGATCAAGCTCACTGCAATTCTGTATGATAAACTAAACAAGTGTTAAAGGTAAAGGTAAAGGTACCCCTGCCAGTACGGGCCAGTCTTGCCAGACTCTAGGGTTGTGCGCTCATCTCACTCTATAGGCCGGGAGCCAGCGCTGTCCGGAGACACTTCCGGGTCACGTGGCCAGCATGACAAAGCTGCATCTGGCGAGCCAGCGCAGCACACGGAAACACTGTTTACCTTCCCGCCAGTAAGCGGTCCCTATTTATCTACTTGCACCGGGGGTGCTTTCGAACTGCTAGGTTGGCAGGCGCTGGGACTGAGCAGCGGGAGCGCACCCCGCCGCGGGGATTCGAACCGCCGACCTTTCGATCGGCAAGCCCTAGGCGCTGAGGCTTTTACCCACAGCGCCACCCGCGTCCCAAAACAAGTGTTAAGCAGGTGTAAAAACCAAGTCTAAACCAGGCCAATGAAACAGGAGCAGCTAACACAGAGGGATGTCACCAAGAAGCCAGCTTGCCAACACCTTTATCACCATCACTAACCTGGACAGTGTGGGGAAGGGGTAGCGGCAAGCTTGGAGCCAGACCAGGGCACCAATATTGCCCATCCAACACTCCTCCCAGTGTGCCTACATGGTCCCAACCTCGCCAGCACCCTGCTGTGCCCGTTCACTAAACAGATAGTGACAGTGGAGCCTCATTTGCTACAGCTGCTGCTGCTTACTCTTGTTCTCCTTGTTTTCTCAGGCTTCACAATGCAGATCACTACATGCAAGAGGCCAAGAAGCTGAAGCACAAAGCCGATGCCCTGGTAGGTCTCCACATTCTACTTCCCAACCCCACCCCCCACGCGCCTTGTAAGGCAGTTTGCTCAGAACTGCAAAGGTATCATGATAAGCCAGAGGGCTGCTTCAGATTTGCATGGTGTATTAAAGTGTGCAATTAATTACTCTAATTATTGGCGCAGAGCACCATTAATTAGCAGAATCTGCACATCATCTGCAGTAGCACAGGGTGTTCCCAGATAATGTCTTCTGGCCAAGTGGCAACAATCAGGCCGTTCAAAGTTGGATTTACCAATCAATTGCAGGGCGGCCATTTAGGCAGTGCCCACCCCCCATGGAAAATGCATCTCTCTCCAAAGCTAGAGCACTAACAAGGACACAGATTCGCCCTCGTTGAATATGCTAATGTATGCATAGAGATGCAGATTTTGAAATAATTACTGTAATTTAAATAAGAAAGACAGTACTGTATATCTAACCATAGTGAGGAAAACTGACCAAGGGACCAGAGCCTCCTGTCCAGAACTGATACCAACTGGGATAACAATATTCACTTGGAAAGCTTGTTGAAAGAGCTGGAAATATTAGAAGGCTTGTTGTCCTGTTACTGAGCCCTGTACAGTGGATCAGATGTGGGCATGACTTAACACCAGTCCCTCTTCCCAGGGAACTCTGCAAGGGGAATGGGGTTCTGCTAGCAAGCCTCTGCACTTACAGTTCCAGGATTATTTGGGGGAACCTATGATTACTGTTGAGAGTGGTGTAAAAGTACTTTAAGAGGACATTGCAGATGTAGCCTGTTTGTGCAGCATTTATTCTGGCTGGTAGTAACTGTTAAGTTGTGGGCGAACATATCAGACGACACAGCGATTCTTCCAAAGCAGCTCTTTATTTGTAAGCTGGAACAGAACTGAAGTGAAGGCCTCAGTCAGCCTGCTTATATAGAGCTCCAATACCTTGTTACTGTAATAACTTTCTAAAACTATCCAATCACTGAACGTCACTTTCGATCCTTCATTTGCATACAAATTATCCAATCACTGAACGTCACTTTCGATCCTTCATTTGCATAACTATCTACAGTATCCCCCTGCTGGCCCAGGGTGAGAACTTCAGTACATAACAGTAACTATCCAGGGTCTTGGCCTCTGCTGCCTTTGTAGCTTGGGAAGGAGGTGCCTTGGGTGAAAACAGGGTTTCTCTGCATGCAAAGAAGGCACTCTCTCACTTGGCTGCATTCCCTCCCTTGATTCCCTCCTGGCGTAATTCAGAATTTGGACTGTGCCCTGTGCTTGTCACTGAACTCATATTCATACTTCTTGAAGGGCCTGTTCTACGATGGGGACCCAAGCTGATTTGCTGATGCCAGACTATGGCGAGCATAGCTATCCATTGATGAATATTTCCAAAAGCACCTTACCATGGCCAGTTGACCTTTAAAGGAGCTCGAACATTTGTGTACCCCTTGGAGCCCACTAGCAAACAGTTGGAGGCAATGGCTCATGGCCGCTTCTGCACACCATGCCAGCTTGTTCACCCCACCCTACCCAACCCTGTGCTCCACTCCCTACTGCCCAATTTGCTCAGCATGTTGATGAGCCTTTCATCTTGCTACCTTTATCTGCGTCTGGCAGAATTCAGTTACAGATAGGTAGCCGTGTTGGTCTGCCATAGTCAAAATAAAAAAAATTCCTTCCAGTAGCACCTTAAAGACCAACTAAGTTAGTTCTTGGTATGAGCTTTCGTGTGCATGCACACTTCTTCAGATACAATGAGTGTATCTGAAGAAGTGTGCATGTACACGAAAGCTCATACCAAGAACTAACTAACTTAGTTGGTCTTTAAGGTGCTACTGGAAAGAATTTTTTTTGTTTTGGCAGAATTCAGTCTGTTTCTCATGCAGCACTAATGCAAAAAGGCACCGTGCATCATGCTGCTGCCTGAAGGAAGCGCTTTCCCATCACATGGTGTTGCTGAATATCCCCTATGCTCTGACTGGAATGCAGAGACAAGCACCATTTAACAACTTGACAGCAGCCTCACATGACCATCACAGACCTCTCATGTATCCATCATGGCTAAGGAACAACCTGTATTTGACCCTATTTTTTTACCCCATCCCTGAGCCTCCTGTTATTCTTGCCAGGGCCCTCATCACGTGCCCCCCTTTTCTTTTCCTGGATTTGCCTGCAGTTTGTTATCTCCATGTCCAATCAAGTCACCTCAAGTAGCTGTCACTTTTCTGACAAACTAGGTGTGACATTAGAGTCATCTTTGCATTTAGCATTGGGAGGGTTGTATTTTTTTTATATAAAAATCAGTGCAAATTGCATCAGTTTTGGGTGGTTGATAAATAATGGGAACAGAACATGCACAGAGAGGGAATTTAACACTTTCCTCCCCTCATCTTAAGGGAAATTTAATAATAATAATAATTTTTTTAAAAAAATTATTTATACCCCGGCCAGAGCCAGGCTCAGGGCAGCTAACACCAATAAAATTACAGTAAAAACATAATGAGCGGGGGGGGGGGGCACAATTTAAAATACAGGTTAAAATGCAATTTAAAATGCAGCCTCATTTTAAAAGTAGCCCATAGATTGAAACCATAAAGGGAGGGAAACATAAGGGTCAGACTGTGTCCCAACCAAAGGCCTGGTGGAACAGCTCTGTCTTGCAGGCCCTGCGGAAAGATGTCAAGTCCTGCAGGTCCCAGTCTCTTGTGACAGAGTGTTCCACCAAGTTGGGGCCAGTTGATTTTCCTCATTATTTTTCATTGGCACCAGTGAGGGATTTCCACCCAATGTGAGAGGAGAGGATTACAGAAGAGGGGTCTTCAGAAGAGGGGTTCCCCTCAGGGCTTTACTGATCGTAATGTAGAAGGAGGCGGGTGCACAGGTGAGGCTCAAAATCAACAAACCACCCTTCAAATATACATTAAGTCTTTCTTGGTGGTTAAGTCATGGTTGTTCATGTGTATATCTACATCAGCTGCACACAGAAGCTGTCTTCAGGCATTCATAAGTGGCGTAAATGTCAGAGAGAGAAGGGAGTGCATGCATGCTAGCTTCACACACTGTTGCTGTTCCAGTTACCCTTCAAGGGTTTTACTCAAAGGGAGCCTCTGCTACACAAAGAAGCTCCCCACGCATTCTAGAACCCTGAAAGATCATTATGGCTGTCTCCCTCATTCACCTTCAGCAGGCATTTTAAAAATAAGAAAGGTCCTGTTCACTGAAACATTTGATGGCCGAAAGATACTGTTTTTCAGGGACTTATCCGGTGGCTGTCTTCCATTTCATAGCAGTTTCCAAACATTCTGCCACCAACTTGAAGGAGATTAATGATTTCTATAATACAACCTCATTATAGGTGTTGCTTGGGTGTCTCATGTACTTACCTGGCTTTGCTTCACATTGGTTTGTGACTTGACTGTTGCTTCAGCAGCAGAAATAAAAACCTATGCATAAATAGGTATAATACCATTCGTGGCAACCTTAAAATTATCAGCTATGAAGATACGTGACTTTTAAATTTTTCTCAGATGTTTTAAATGTGGGGGTTTGGGGGGGAGGTTAAAAATGATATGGTTTACTGTTTGCTTCCTATTTGGAAGGAGGAGTTAAAGAATAGAGGAGGCTTTCCCGCTGCAAACGGTCTCCCTCCAATTGGTAGAGGACAATGTGGAAGAGGGTCATAGGCGCCGACTCCATGGGGCTTGAGGGGGCCCGAGCCCCCTCAAAAATTCGTTTGGGGGGGCTCCGCCCCCCCAATAATCTCCGGCGCCCCTCCAGCAGAGCGCCATCGCCGCCCCTCCCCCAGCCCAAAATGCACAGGGAGGGGCGGGCTGCATGCCTCCTGCCCTCCCTCCCGAGCAAAAGCTCCACCCAATTTCCTTTGGAGCTGATTAATAGGCGCAGCACGCTCTCCCCTATTCGCTCACGAGGAGGCGGCGCCACTTTATTTGCATATTCATGAGCTTATTTATTATTCATGAGCTTTCCCGGGCCCCCCCAATATTTTTTATAAGTCCGCGTCCCTGAAGAGGGTGACAGAGCTATCGTGCTCATTTTGGCCACTTATGAATGCATGGATAAGGCTGAAAAGTGTACAGTTGATGCAGATATACCTGTGAATGAAGACTTTGATCCTTCATTTGAAGTTCATGGCTTTAGAACCATTCAATTAAGCCACTTACAGATGCTGAACTATAGGGCTGTGGCTCTTCTTTGCTGGAGTGGGACTATAAAGACTACAAGAGCTCACCATCTCTGGTTTTGACAAATGTATGAACCATTGGGCTCGTGTATGCCTATCCCAAAGTCAAACCTGTGGCATTATCTTGAATGTGCTTCTTCTTCCCCTTTTCAGGTGGAAAAGTTTGGCAAAGCGGTGAATTATGCTGACGCTGCCCTTTCCTTCATCGAGTGCGGCAATGCTATGGAGCGCGATCCATTAGAGGCGAAATCTCCATACACTATGTACTCTGAGACTGTGGAACTCATCAGGTTAATGGCTTTCCTGTGATCATTCTCATAATCTCATTTCACTCATAATTAGAACTTGCTACGCTTTTTAAAAGTATCATTTCGACCTCATTAATGATTAGTCCAAGGCATCTTCATCTCAGAAGTCATCATAATTAGTTCTTCTTGCCATTTTATTAATGTCACAGAAAATTTATAATTGATGGACACTGCTCTTATAAATTAGCCCCGTTAGAGGTTATAATGTGTGTGTTATATAATTTGCAATATTCATAAAATTAAAATTGAAATGTAGTGGGTGGAAGTAAAGCATAGTAATTTCACCATTTGGCAGTGACACTTGTCTTTTAAAAGGGATAGTTTTATCATTCCAGACATTAAAGGGAGGCCCACTGGGATATCTGTTATAAACCCTGTTTTCCAGAGGTTTGTAATTTGGCTGTTAAAAATTGTTCCAGAATGAAATTTGTCAGTTCGTTTCAACTTTTCAGCCCCTGTTTTGCATGTATATGCACACATACACACAAAATTTTTTGACTTGCGTAGATGTGTATTACTGGATGAGAGAAGCATGCCAAAATTTTGTTAGCTTCAGTTTCCAGTTGTTGCTGTTTCATGGGAGTCAAACGGGTTTGGCAGGGGAGGGGAACTTTCCTTCTTTACAAAAAGGCAATCAGTGATCAGAGTGAATAGGATGACGTCTAGAAATCACAGTACAAACAGAAGCATGGGTGAGCCCTTAGTCTGAATCCAACCAAGAGGGTCTTATCTTATGTGCATGCTAAATTTCAAAGACTATACGCCTTCATTTCAAAAGGAGTTTGCAGGATCTTTCCCATGCAGTGGTTGTGATCAGCAGTCTTTGGCTAAATTCAACTTGACAGAGATAAAGATAGATCTATTGATCAGTTAACCCAGCTCTATTTATGGGCTGGTAAATATAAGATTTCCTTGAAGATCCTGGAGTTATTAATAGGTTCTGCCCCAGAGCAGTTTTCAATTCAATTTCCTTTGCTGCAACAACTCTCACTTAATATGGGAACACTTTTTAATAGCAGCTGAAACATGGCAGGTATTAAAACTATTGCCATTTATTTATTTACTTGTTTTATAGGAAATATGGCTAGCCTGCTTTTCCATAATGCTTAAGGCAGCTCAGAGCGTAACTTTAAAATAACTATGGATCTTTATCTATATAAAAATAAGCAACAGTAGCCGTAAAGCTCCAGATTGGCAAAGTTTGGCCAGATCCAAAGGCCTCAGAGGATAGATAAGGATGGAGGAGAATCTTCATTCAGTCTGCTTTTTTATATGAACAGATCTGATTTGCACCTCCCACACCAATGTGCAGATTGGAATGCAGTTACCCTTTGGATTTCACGCTTCTCCAGATTATGCAATCCAGCCTTCAGCTCTAAAGCCATATCAAAATGCGTAAAAGATAAAAGTGTGTAAAAGTTTAGAAATGTCTGCACTGAGACAAACTGCTATTTAAATATGCATTTTGTAGTAAAATGTTTATTTAAGAATTTATTTAAGAATTTATTTAAGAATTTCCATGCAAACATGGACTGATGGATGAACAGTTTTGAAATTGACACAAACCAGAAAGACTGAGCAATCCAACCCTACAGATTGGGCCTTATATAGGCACCAAAATCAAAGGAGGGAGGATCATAACCATTCTCTGGATTGAAATTATTTTATTTTACCTGTTGAATTTCAAGTAGATTCTGCATCAAGGACCTTGGACTGGTTTTGAACTACAGTGCTGATGTGGAGGCAAACTATGGTTTGCAGCCACTATATCTTGCCCTATAAGGGAATATCAGCCCTGATTACCTTGAACCAGTAGAAGAGGAGGAGGCACATGAGCCACTCACGTGGTTTGCAATGGTTTGCAATGGGCAAACCATGGTTTGACCATAGAATCAAAGAGTTGTAGAGTTGGAAAGGGACCACAAGGGTTGTGCAGTATAACCAACTCTACAGTTCTTTGATTTTGTGAATCCCCTGCAAAGCATGTGAAGGACTAAGGGAGCAGAGTTGCTTCCTGACAAGCTAGCTGGCATCTGAATTGATTCCACTGAAATATATTGTGTTTGAGGTGATACCTGTGGAGCAGTGTGTGCAATGGCCATTCATCTGCACATGCAAGCCATTAAAAAGTCAGGTGTCAACCCAAATGTACAGGACCAAGCATTGTGCACGCAGCATATGAACCAACTTTCCCTAGCAGTTGTGGGATTTCCCCTTAGAAACGTATATTTATAACATGAAAGAATTCAATGTCAGGGAAGTATCAGTGAGGAAATAGTACATGCTTTGCATTATGAATGAGTATTTGTTTACATAGCAGAAATGTACCGGATTTGAAAAGAAGCTGTTATCTTTGGGGAAATAATATGCCTTGTAAATATTTCAGAATGTGTATTTGCGTGCAGCTCTGGTTTAAACAGAAAGGGGAGATCACAAAGGAGGTTACAGGGCAGCAGAATGATCACATGCTAAAACACAACTAAACCAGACCTATCCATTGGATGGGCTGAACCTCACCCCTGTTCACAGCTTCCCCCCTCGCTTCATGTTGCATTTCATTATCTGAGCTCCAATGCCAGGTGCTATCCTAGCTGTTGGAAGTGTTCAGAGAAACAGGTGTGGGGAGGTAATCTGTGGGCAGAGAGAGGCATCAAGCACCACTTGTGCACCTTTTCTGATATGTAAACCTGCCCTTTTTCTCCACTGTGGGAGGGAGCCACATAGGCTGTGTCCTACCTGCACTAGTAAAGGCAGTGGCACTCTGGATGCCAGGGGGTGGGAATCACAAGTGGGGAGAGTACTGTTGTGCTCAGGCTTCACATAGGCATCTAGCTCGCCACCATGAGAACAAGATGCTAGGCTAGATGGGCCATTGGCCTGATCCAGAAGCTTTCCTTATGTTCATATGATTGGTGCACATAACATTTTAAAGCCATGAGTCTGTTGCCCTCACATACAATTTTACCCTGGAGAGAGCGAGCGGGGGGGATTTGTCAGAGCTGGAAGATACATACAGTGTAAGCAAGTGATGTCCCTTGTCTCTTCCTGCTGTCTTCCCTCCCAGCAGACCTTTGGGGGTTCTTTTTTTAATCCATTTTGCTAATTATAGCTATTCAAAGGCTCAGATGCACACAGATGACATTGATTTGTGAGAATGAGCAACACATCACAGTGACTCAGGATGCCAGAAATACGGCTGCCAAGGCTGTTTAGACTAATTGTATCTTTAAATCCCTTCCTTTTTAAGCGTGCACATCCTCAAAGGATACGAAACCTTAATTTGTCCTGAGCCACCAAGTATGACAGAAGCTGTCGTAAAGCACAAGAAGGGGCAGGGGAGGAAGAAAATGAAGAAAGAAAGCGCTGAACTAAAAGGGTCCTTTATATATGAAGCACATAATGGTGATGACGACAGGGGCGGCAGTGATCCAGTGCGGTAAAAGCAGTGCATTTCTCCTGCACTCCATTACTCCCTTGTAAATGAGACCGCCCGGATACCTTAAAACCTCCTTACGCAACACTGAACTCTATTACTTACTCTAACACAAGTACCTGTGAAATTGTATTAAGGCTCAGAACAATGGTTTTTCTATGATGATTTGATTTTCAGAAGGCTTAAGTGTGCGGAATGTTGCGGGTGGTGAGGAACACTTTCATCAGGGAAGGAGGGGAGGGGGAGAAGGAAAGGAAAGGAAATTGCCCAACTTTATTATTCGCAAGCCGGGACAGGAAACGGTTGAGCGGCAAGGGGCCCCCTCCTGCAGTTCAGTGTCACAGGTGATGCACTCCACACAGCTGTTTTGTTTGAGAGTGCATTGCCCACATGCTAGTCTCCCTAAGTTTGAAAGCACTTGAGGAGCCTAGACCTGGAAAGATCTCTGCCTTTGAATTCCTAAGGGGATTAGAACACTCCAGGTCTAGGTGGACCAATAGCTTGACTCACTCATTTTTCTCAAAGCATCCTTGCTGACACTCGATATTTCATCCCTCTTCTCCTTTTTCTCCTCCCCCCTTAAATCTCTCTCCACTAAAGGTATGCCTTGAGACTGAAAAACTTCACTTGCTCTACAGCCACAGATGGAGACAAGAAACTGGCAGTTCTATGGTGAGTTGTCTTCCTCAGCCCTGGTTTAGACAACTTAGATATAACAGCAGGGTAGATATTGTTGGGCAGCTGCCAAGGGTCCTCACCCAATGGGAGAGTCCATGGTCCTTCTCCTTGTTTAGGAACGTGAACAAGGCACGTGAGCAGTGCCCAGGTTCAAAGAAAGGCAACCTCCACTCAACTTGCTCTCCCTCCCTCCCTGTGGCCATGGGGAGAGGAACCTGTGTCACAAGGGTTGCATGTGGCCCTCAACTTGTTTCTCATGTGGCCTCCTACACAATTTCATTCTGTGTGTGTATAAGGTTTTTAAACAAATTCAAATACAATAACCATCACTTATCCAATAGTACATCTAATGGTGTTTGTTTTATCCATTGACAATAGACATACACTTATACATTCAACATTCAAACATATTACTTAACGTAACCTTTCCACTGAGAAAAGTGGAAAAGTTGCTCCCCCCCCCCGCGCCTTGAGTCAACAGCCCTTCATAGGGAAAAAGGTTCCCGCTCTAAGGGAGGGTGAAGACTGGACCCAAAGGGAAAGAGGCAACAAAATGGTGGTGAAGTGACTAGAGTGCTGAGCTATGCTTGGGGAGAGACCTAGGTTCAAATCCTTACTCAGTCATGAAGCTCAATTAGTACTCCTGTTGTGCACCCCCCCCCACACACACACACACTTTGCAGGCTTGTTGTGAGGATAGGCACAAAAGGCCATGTGCACTGCCCCGAACTCCTTGTAGGAGAGAAAGGATAATATGTAGAGCAAACGATATGTAGAGCAAATGATCCAGCCAAACCCATGCACTTATGCAGCAATAAAACTGCTTACACATTTGCAAAGCTAAGCAGGGTCCGGTATGGCTTCACATTGGATGAGGGGCTGTGTGTTGAGATTCCTGCATTGCAGGGAGTTGCACCAGATGACCCTGAGTGCCTTCCCACTCTACAATTCTATGGTTCTATGAATCCTCATTTATTGAAATGAGAATTACGCATGCACTTAACAGCACAATTCCAACATGTCTATTCAAGAGTAAGTGCTGTTGAATTGAGTGGGACTTACTCTCAAGTTAATGGAGTTAGGATTGCAGCCTCAGTCTCTCCCACTCATATCAGTTGCACTTCAGACCGATGCACATGTATTTTTCTTGGTTTTACAGATTTGAAGCCCATTAAAATTATTGTGAGATAATTGCAGCTTCACCATGGTAGGGGCAACTTGACAGTCTGATGGGGAATGAGGACATATGATTCTGGGTCTGCTTAATTTGGACTGGATTGTGTTTAGTTTGCAATTTCATTAAACAGAAGAAATGTGTTTTTTCCCCCCAAAAAAACTTGTACACAGCTACCGATGCTTATCCCTTCTCTACCAGAGAATGTTTAAACTAAAGAGGGAGAATGCTATGAAGTACTCCAGATCTCTTATGGAATACTTTAAGGTAAGCATCAGTTTGTTTCTCTTACTCTGAGTGCCACACAGAAAACCACAGGTTGAGCCATGGTTGACTCCAGATGGGCAACTGGTTTGCACATGGCAACTATTTATGTAAGCTGACCATGGTGTTTCTGTAAGCATGTGAAAAGCCCCATGTGGTAAATGTCAGCCCATAACAGTATGAGGGGCAACTGCAGCACCTGTGCATGTTACATTTAATATCCTCAGTATTGATATTTATGTGTGTACATTGACAATCCCATATGAATTTTGTGAATTGCAGCATTTACTGGTTTATGTCCCCTCCCCGTTGTAGGACATAATGCTAATGGGCCAATTAAGACATGTGGTTGCATCCACATTGCCTGCTTTATTTGGAATGAAAATTTTCATCCACTTAATTCTTATGGTGTTTTTGAACACTAGTCTGCTTTGAAGTTTTGGCTAACAGAGCATAAACAACAGTGATACTTTGAGTTTTGCAGTTCCCACTCCCCTCTCCTACAGCAACATTGATATGAGGAGAGGTTGGATGCCTGCTTTAAACTGAACTGGAGATACTCTGGTTTTAACAAGCCAGGGTCATAAACCACATCATCTTCTTGACTTGTTACAATAAATTCTGGGAGTGAATGCTTATTATTTCATCCTCCAGGCTACACCGGGGGGGGGGGGGGAGCAGGCAAGCCTGAGAGTAACTTCTGCTCATTCGTGTAGTAGTATTAAACCATGGTTTTTTTCAGCCCCAAGGTGTAGTGAATTTCCCTCTCACACACACTGAATCTCATCATAGATAAGCACTGAGGCTGCTTCCTGCAATTGGCCCATCAGTTTTCAGCTTCCTCCTTGCTCTTCTTTCTTTTACTTAAAGTGGCTTTACTTTGATTCTTCCACCTTTTAATTAGCTGCAAGTCCTTTGCTAAATGGGACTTCCTTCTGAGTAAATATTATTGAAGTTAGATATTGTAAGCATGGGCCTATGAGAAATATATGCTAAATTTGATGCTATGTGGAAACATCATTTAAATGTCATTTCCAGCCTCCCTGTAGAATAGCAATCTCTTGGCAATGCTAAAGCTTCCTAGTGTGTAAGCAACCACTGCTGACATTCATAATATATCTGGGCATTCACAGATTTATATGGATTTTCTAATGCTAATTAAATACCGAGTATTCGCTGTAACATGGACACATGCGCAGATATTGGCAGCTTGAAGCAAAAAAGCCCAGGCCTCCCAATATAAGCAAGACCACAGTCTTCAGTGCAAGTTTACGAATATTTTTCAATTATGAGGTGCAATTTCTCCTCATTTCAAGTTATCATCCTGAGCTTTTGTGTCCTGATGTAAAGTTTGCTGATTTCCCTTGCAAGGTGAAAAACATCCCTTTGCTGAAGGAATTTTAGATAAAGAGAATTAAACCACCTTCACAAAAGGTGCTTGATTTATTCTGGAGTTCTGGTATATAGCATCTTTCATTGACTTTTATCATCCTAGTTAGAGCCCACTAATTATCCAACCTGCGGGTTTCCCCCTCACCCTTTGTTTTTAGTTTAAAAGGGATTATTATGCTGGTATGGTTTTATATATATATATATATATATATATATATATATATATATAACCTTCTGCTTTGCTACTGAAGTAGGTAATGCCTTCCTTTGCGCTGATCAATATTAATGCAATGTAAATCTTCCTTTGTGTCTGCTGCTGAGTGAACAAAGACCTGTTTCTTTCTCTCTTTTCCCCCCAAACTTGTTTTTCTTACAGAATTGTTCCAAAGTTTCACAGGCCCCTTCTCCTTGGGGAGGCAATGGAAAGTGAGTATTCTCTCTCTGTGGGAAACGACCAGTTAGATGGGATAGAGGGGTGAGGGCTTTATTCGTTGATGAAGATAAGTAGTTATATTACGATGAAATGTTGCATGAGTTAGTTTGGCATGCAGAACAAGGAGAAACCTTGTGTGGATTGATCGATCCCACTCTCTTCATCAGCACGGTTTTTAAAGCCAATTGAGGAACATAAAAAGAGCTGTTAATCGAGTAGGAAGTATCATGGTGTTCCAGGATGCCAAAATAGTTAATCTCCAGCGCAATGATTCCAGCCCGCCCCACCCCACCCCCACCCCCGCAAAAAAGATTTGTTCAGTAATGAAAGGCTAATGAATATTTCATTGATAAATGGTAAGTGCTGTTTAATAAAACTGGAAGCATAATAGTGGTGAATACATGAATGCACTTATTCAACCGATTAACTGGACCCTTATATTAAAACTAAAGCAGCTTTATTTTATTTAATAAAATTTATACACATCTAAATTGAAGGTGGTTGTTTTGCTTTTTTAACAAAGTGGTTTACCAAAAAGATATAACAATTTTAAAAAGACAACAATCATTTAAGATTTTTTAAAAGTTAAAGTAACAGTAGACGTAAAAACAGATTAAAACTTGCACCAACATTCTAAATAACTGGGTAGACCTGTCTAAACAGAAATGGTTTTAGCAGGCACCAGAAGGAGTACAGTGATGGCGCCCGCCTGATATCAATAGGCAGGGAGTTCCAAAGTGTCAGTGCTGCCACACTAAACAAATGATTTCTTTCAGCAAATTGGCTGAGTGGGCACATAGAGTAAGGAGATCCTACAAGTAAAGTGATCTCAAACTTGTTAAGGGCTTTATATACCAACAGTAGCCCATTGAACTTCGTGTGGTAACAAATCTGCAACCAATATAGTATCAATCAGGCTTGCATTTCTAACTCATGCACATGCTGTGGTCCAGGCCTTTGTACCTTGAGACCCACCAAACTGAACTGAACCAATAACCCATCAGGTGTTGCCAACCAGGAGCTTAATAAAACCTTCTTTTCTGTTGTCCGGCTGGGACAGAAACAGGAAGAGTTGTCACTAACCAGCCTTGTTGATTCCTTGCCATTTGATTTCGTGAGTCACAGGTTGCGCAGGGCAGGTGCTGCTTGTGAACAGAAAGAACTAATATATGGTGTGAATTGGTTGTTATTTTTCAGTCATTGGTGGGCTGGTCTTCTGTGTATATGAAAGATTTTCCTTTTACCTGGTTAAGCAGAGTAGCATACAACTAAGGTGTAGCAGAAGACACAGTGGAGAAGGGACCATAGCTAAGTGGTCTGGGGCCACAGAGGGTTGAAAACCTATTATTATTTCTGCCGCAGAGCTGCCAGTTGACATCAAAGGGGTGTTGTTTAGCCCCTGCATGCTCCAAAGCTAAGCATTTAGGGACACTTAAAACACAGGGGGGCTTCCATTTCAAGAGAATGGTGTGCAAGTTCTGTTAAGTAGAATGCAACTTTACGGAACACACAACTTAAATCACTCAAGATATTGTAGCACTCCAAATAATTTGCCCATGTACGTGCACAGAAAATAACAGACCTACCTGAAAGGCAACACACTGAGATCTGCATTGATGGTTGCAATGTAACCCTAGTTTTTTATATATAATTAAATTATTGTTGAATAATCTTAGAAAGTTGTCTAATCTAAAAGGAGCGTGGCTGTAACTGTAATGACAGGACCTTGAACTTCTGAATTTGCCACTAGACCATGGGTGTAGCCAGGATTTTTGTTGGGGATGGCAGGACTTTTGGGGGGACAGAACTGACGTGGTTGGTCAGTTAAGTATTCCTATTGTTGGGGTGGCAGCTGCCCCCCCCCCGCCCTTGGCTACGCCCATGCACTAGACAACTGCAGCTAAGTGTTAGCACATATGCTTTGTTTGCAGATGATTCCCCAGAAGGCTGCTTAGCTCATTTGGTAGCATAGCACATGAGACTGTTTATCACAGGGTTGTGGGTTCAAGCCCCACATTGGGCAAAAGGATTCCTGCATTGGAGGGAGTTGGACTAGATGTCCCTTGGGGTCCCTTCCTACTCAAGGTTTCTATGATTCTTAGGGAATGTGGTCCCTGTGCTGGAAAGGTTCTCCACACCTGTCATAGAGAAATGTGGGGATTGTAATTCTATGAAGGGGGAGCGGTAAAGAATTCTAACCAGAAATTCTCAATATCTGCACCAAATTCCAAGTCATTTTGGGGGAAACCATGACAATAAAACCTATTATATCTAAACCAAAGCAAACAATAAACAGTAGACAGTATTGAAGTCATGGCTGTGTTGCACAGGTGTTTGGGATTTTGCATATGCCCCCAAATGTTTACGTTTAGGGTGTTAATTGTATTCCCAGAAACCAGAATTAATTGAGCTCTCTTTGAGTGCACAACACTGCAAGGGCAGGCCCCACAGTGGGGCTTTCAGCTGGCAGATGTTTCCTAATTGCTGGTGTTAGAATTAGAAGAAAATCCATATGAGAGCATTAGCTTAGCTCTAAGTAGGTAACTTAAAGCACAGCTTCTTGTAAAACACTGCCCAGATGAATCGGTGCCAAATAGAAACAAGCCGCCACAGAAGTTCTTAAGGGCATCTATAGAAGTATTTTTAGTTGTGCTTACCCCAGTTCTCTTTAGGGACCTAGGAAGCTGTCTTATGCTGAGTCAGACCATCAGTCCTTCCAGCTCAGTATTGTCTATATACTGACTGGCATTTGCTCTGCAGGATTTTGGGCAAGAGACTCTCCCAGCACCATCTGGAAATACAAGGGACTGAACTTGGGAACTTAGGTTTGCAAAGCAGATGCTCTTCCACCGAGCTATGGCCCTTCCTGTATAGGGAGCCTTCCAAAATGGTGCATTGTTTACTATGCAGAGGGGCTGGATTTTGTAGCAAATAGTCCTAGTTCATTCCACCAAATACTTTGATAGTAAGCCAATAATGCACATTGAGTGTTTTCTAACAGCAGGTTGGAAAATCATTGTAGCTATGAAATATATTTATTTCTTCTGTTCCCTGCAAAATGGCGGCAGTTACTACCTACTCCCCCAACACACATACATGCCACAACACACACACACATTTTTCCTGCAACCTTAATGCAAAATCTATACCCAGTTTGTTTAATTCTAGGTAAGCTAAAGTTGCACCTGGGGTACTGTCCCTACAAAAATGAAGCAAAAGTGTTTCTCATTGTGTATATATAACTTTAGAACTGTCCATTTGCAACATTATACAATAATGTTAGTGCCTTGCTAGGATAATTTCTAAAAATATAATAGTAATAATGCTATCAGCTTATACAGCAGCTTTGAGAGGTAGGCTGTGGCTTTGGGGAGAAGCACTATTTTTTTTAATATTAGGAAGAGACAAATACTAACAGTGGTGTTGCGGTCGGGGGAAACCAGCAGATTAATTGTCAAACATTGTAATGATGTTAATACGATATGCAAATTAGCCACAGTCTTACAGCTCATGATGAGCTTATGTTGGGAATCTTGGGAGTTGTATGGCTTGATTAACTTGATTCTTTTTTAACTATGCAATCTGAAAAATAGTGTTCATAGCATGAATAGGGTTTTTTAAAAAGTAAATGTATGTATATTGTTGTTTTCAGTCATCCCCAGTTACCAAAATTCTCTCCATGGAACTTTGCCTGAAATCCTTCAGCCCTCCAGAAGTTGTCTGACTACAACACCCATCATCCCTGACCATCAGCCATGTCGGCTGAGGCTGATGGGACTTGGAGTCCCACAACATATGAAGGGTCAAAAGTTCCCTGTCCCTGCAATAGCTGGGCTAGATGGACAAATTTAGTCTTATGTCAGCTTCTGCCATGTCTTATCCCAATGAATGCTTGAAATTGTAGTCTGGTGAGGTGCTTAGCATTCTCTGTTACAAACAAGCAGGGGAGGGAATGGGTGTTAAGACCATAGCCCAGCTGAGTTGAAAGAGTCCAGCTTCCATTCCTTACAACAGGAAGAATCTGCAGCTAAAAGCTTGTTTGCTTTCCTTTGCTTTCCTTTGCTGTTGGTTTCATGCTAGAGTGCTAAGCAAAAAGTGGGGAAGCCCCCACTGCTTTCATTGGGGTGGGGGAGGAAGAAATCTTCTTCCCTGAGGTTCCCATGGCAACAAGGCAAATTCATATTTGGTCACAGAGATTGTACAGACCATCGCTGGTGGCGCATATTCCTTTATCTGTGTTGTGAACTGCCTTGTTCAGCTGGCTGGCCGGCATCCTGCGAGGGCCTTGGCATATGTTTCCTTCAATAGGGCTGGAAGTGCATCCATTCACCTCCAACCCCTTTCATAAAGCTTCTTACAGGTGTGATCCAATATACCTCTCTGGTGAATGTTTGATTCTCCTCCACTTCTTAATTCCAGTGGTGGCTGGTTCTCTCCTGAGACTGGCGGGGACAGAAGGGTGGGAGCCTAACAGTAGGTAGCGCCAGAGCCAGTAATTATGTCCACATCCTCCTTTCTGCTGAGTTCTACAAGGGGCAGCACTGAAAACTAAGGAGGGGGAAGCTGATAGCCAAGGCCACCCCCTTTTCAAGGAAGAAGGCAGGCAAGTTTTAAGTGGCTGAAGGCAGACTGGTGGGACAGAGGTGCTTTATTTGTCTCAATAGACCAGTTTGCACTACCTAAAACAAAGCATTTCAACAAACTCTGCCCGTCAACAACTAGGAAATTTCCCGTAAGGTGGAACCTCATTCTCTTTCCCTTTTCCCAGGAGTACAGGAACACCATCTCCCGTGTCTCTGAGCCCATCGCCCATTGGCTCAGTTGGGAACGCCATGGGTGCTTCAGGATCTTCCTCGTCAGGGAACGTAAGCATTCCCCAGCGCATCCACCAAATGGCGGCCAGCCACGTCAACATCACCAACAACATCCTGCGAAGCTATGAGCACTGGGACATGGCTGACAAGCTGGCAAGAGAAAACAAAGGTGCCTCACACTGTTTCCATGATTTCTCTGATCTAAAGAATGTGAATGTCTCTGGTGGTGGTTGCTTATTACATTCTTTCCCTAGGCCCTATATGCAGGAACCAGAGAAAGTCCACTTCCCTCTCTTTTGTTTAAAAGAAAGGATGTTTCTAGTCCTCATGAGAACCAGTTCCAAGTTGGGGGGGGGGCTGTAGAAAAGGCACCATCTGGTGGGCCCCCTACCTATTTCTATTTAATACATTTCTGTAAAGGTAGCTTGCAACTTATGCACAGGTAACCTACTCACATTCAGCTTTACACGCGGCAAAAAAAAAATCTTAAAAAATTAAAAGGGGGTGGATGTCGGGGGGGGGAGAGACTTTGGCACTCTCACGCACCATTGAATCCAATGTGTTTTGACTATACACAATCTTGACTTTACTCGCTGTATCCAGAACATAACTTAAGCTGAGAGTTGCCTGTACCACCTTTCAAGAATGTTGTGCAGGTGACCATACTCAAAGTAGATCCACTGAAAGAAATGGACTTAAGTAAGCCCAGGGCTTTCTATCAGCCAGAACTGAGCACCTCTCAGGTGGGCGCCATTGCCGTTATAAGAGAACAAGGGGAACATTTGTGGTGAGTTCTGGCACCTTTCCCATAAAAATAACACTGAGTAAGTCCATTGATTTCAACAGACTGAGTATGACTAAAGTTGGTTATCCATAATTGGTGCTCTATACATTTATTTTTTAGTAGGGAACAAAATGCGAAAGTGACATTTGAAGGACTCTTCTGACAAACATAATTAGGTACAGCTGAGCTGTGTGAATGCTGAGTTCCAAGTACCGACAAGTGGGAGCTGAGCAAATGAGGTCCACATTTGAGACTGTGAATGATATCTCAGCTTTGGCCTTTTCCAGCTTGCTTAAAAGTCAATTTTTTTGGGGGGGGAGGGGCGGACATTGCATCTACAACACTAATGGTGTTCATGTGGAGCTGCCTCTTATGACAAATTTGCTGAAAGCCAGGTCATTCTGTTTGCCTTGAGTCCATGACTCATCTAGTGGATTCAGATTAAAGCAGACTCTTCACCGTTGTTGACACTGACAAGCGTAGGTGAGAGGAAAAATGGATGGCTGATGCTTCTTTGAAGGAAGCTGCAGGAGCATGACTGATGTTTGGACTTGGAAAGCAGCAACCGACTGTAACTCAGTGATAGAGCACAACCTTTGCCTAAAGAAGGTCCCAGGTTCACTCTCTCATAGGGAAGGTGGATCAGCCAATTTCAGCTTCTCGTTTTTTCTAATTTTAGTATTTGGTCTGCCACATTTCCACAGCAGCTTGCAATATATTTATTTTTTAAAGTCATTGCTGCAATTCACCTGCATTTCAGGGCACATATTTTTGCAAGCTGTGTGTGTGTGTGTGTGTGTGTGTGTGTGTGTGTGTGTGTGTGTGTGTGTCTGTGTGTCTGTGTCTGTGTGTGGCAAAAGGTGGGAGTCAACCCAAGTTACACCTTGTAACCATTCATACATTGGCTGTGGTTTACCATGTTGTGTCATTCAAACCAGGTTGAAAATGGTTCAGACAACTTTGGAATGATAACAAACCACGATGGGTAGTTAATCCCCTTCTGCATTTTTGAGCCTCCCTAAAAACCAATAGAATTTATTTGTTCCAGCAAACTAATGTAGATTCCCAGTGCATCTGTGCTAGTGTTCCTCAACTTGGTTCCCTCTAGATATTTTGACTGGGCCTGATGTCAACAGCATTCCAAAGCATCTGAAAGGCATCTGGTTGAGGAAGGCTGACTTATGCTAAGAGGGGCAGATGCTGGGGAAGAAGGGCAAGCGCTTACCTGGTCTGCTGCCAAAGGCATCACAGCAGCTTACCTGGAGGGAGAGGTGACAGGAGATTGGCACAGAATAAACACACAGACAACAGAGCTGGCTTGGTTCCACTGGTGCATTTGCACCAGCCTGTAGTGGCTGGACCAGGAGGCAAGCAAAGAGCTGTCACACCCTCCCACTGTGCTAAGTAAAGCAGCATGAGATTGCATATATGTTTACATGTGGTGATTCAAATGGCAAGTCAGAAATGAGGGGAGGAATGTGAGAATCGCAACTTCCTAGTCAACTGCATAACTTGTTTTACCTTTTATTTGTTTCCTTGGTACTATTATTGTTTGTTTGTTTGTTTGTTTGTTTGTTTGTTTGTTTGTTTGTTTGTTGTTGTTATATATTGGTTGTACATATGTTTTTGTTTTCTACCTCATGCTCTGAATGTTAAAAGATCACCAGGTTCTCTTCCCCCGCAAGCAATTCTGCTTGGAATCGAGTCAAAGCAGCTCAGGTGCTCAGCCAGTAGAGAGAAACCATAACCAGCTATTATTATTCCTAAAGTTAAGTGCAGAAATAATCAGCTGCTGAAAATCTCAAATTGCATATTTTGTAACAAGCCACCTTTGTTACTCTAATAAGCCCCATCTCTTGACTCCTTAAAAATGTAGCCCACTCAGTTCTGCAAATCATGACTGATACACTGGGGGGGAAAGCATTGATGCTAGCCTGCTCAGAGGAGACCCATTAAAGTTAATGGACACAGCTAACATTGGTGTGTGTGTTGTTTTGTTTTGTTTTGTTTTGTTTTGGATTTTGTATTCTCCTTTTGTATTATGTTGTAAACTGCCCTGTGATCTTTGGAGGAAGGGAATTAAATCTGGAATACAGATTTAATAAATAATCATAATACTTTGTGAATGCATTTGTTCAGTTATCCCAGATAGGAGTTCACTTCCTTAGTTTTATTTTTATTTTGCAGAGTTCTTCACAGAGCTGGACTTGGTGATAGCTCCATTATCGCAACACAGCAGTATGACCCACCTGGTCCGTTACGTTCGGCAAGGACTCTATTGGCTTCGCATTGAAGCACACTTGTCGTAGTCACTGCCATCCTGCCCATCACAGCTCCATCCTGTTACCTCCACCGGCACACAGGTGATCACCGATGGAAAGCCACTCTTTTCTGGGACTGTATTCATAGAGATTTTTTTTTTTGCCTTTTTTTGCCTTCTTTAAAACAAAACAAAATTATCTGTTAGAAGTGGAATTCACTATAAATTGAAAATATAGATGCTGAGCAGGGTATTTGTTTCTTCTGGTTTAATCAGTATGGATTCTTCCTCTTTTTTATTATTATTTTTGCCTTGCATCTCTTGAATTCTGCCACTCTTGCCTTCCATAACGTGCTTTATGGAATGGGCAGTTCCCTGCAGTATTGCACTTTGTTGAAGATATATACATTTTTGTGAAAATGTCTTGAATCTAAACAAAAATAAACGTGTAGCAGTTCAACCCATGCAATTCAGTATTTCCCTTTGGATGCAGACTGAGAGCTGTTCAGTTTAGTCCTGGTTCTAGTTTTCGGCCAAAAGTCATTGCTAAAATCAATCCTCAAGAAGCAAAACATGAAATGCCTTATACAAGTTTTACACACACACACACACACACACACACACACACACACGTACAACATGAGATCACAATGGGCTTGGGGAGATATTTCTATTAATGCCCAAGCAATTATGTTTACTTGATTTGAAATTTTAACATTGCAGCACGATGCAGGTTTAACATCCATTTTAGACTATGCGATTATATTTTGAACTGAAGGGTATCTGGCTGCCTGTATGGTTTATCTAAATACCATGTATTGGGGGGGGGCGCGTCTGGGCGAAACTGGATGTATGGCTTCCTACCTGGACCATTTATTTCTCCACCAGCCTATAGGATGACCAAGGATCAATATGGGTGCATACTTTTGGCTGCTGCTGGGACAAGGTTATGGAGAAGGGGACCAGTGGAATGTATGGGTTCCACCGTGATAGGCTTACATGCCAGCCAGCCTTTAGAGACAAGCATGATGACATCATTGCTCTCTGCAGTGGTGGCTGGTGCCCATGAGGACTGGTAGGGAGGGACAGGGACTGAGCCAGAAGCATTGACAGACAATTCCCATCCCAGGAACTGGCTAAGAGTAAGAAGGGAGGCAAGTGGGAGTTGGTCAAGGACAGACTGAGGTTCATGGAGCAGTTTCCCTTTCATCCTAATTGACCAGCTTCTACTGCCTATCTCGATACTGGCCTCTAAGGCTAGTGGGCTGGCTCACTGTGATGTCATGCTCAGCAAACCTCATCTACTTGCCAGCTCGCCACCCTAGCATCTGTTTTCAGTACCAGAGCTATAGACTGGGAAATAAGCAGTAAGAAGAACTGAATTTCTCCTGGGTACCTGCAGAATGTTCTTCCTTTACTAGTAGATAACTACAGAGATTCATACATACACATGGAGTAGGGGTTTTCAAGTTCAGAGGGTGACTTTTTCCAGACAGACTGATGTTAAATCTTTGTCCACAAATTAAACAGGGCTCACAAGTGTCACAAATTTGGACCAATGTGTTCCATATCACTTCAGAACAGAGTGACGTAATTTAATTTTTTGTTAACTGCCTTGAGGGTTTTAAAATTAAATAATAAAAATATAAATAAAATTATCATCCCCTAAATAATTCATTTCCACTCTTCCTTTCAACATTGATTTTAATCAAGTTATTATTTTTTTCAAATAGTGCGGATCATCAAAACAGAGCTAATTTGTTATACTAATTAATAAACTGTATTGCATTCCGCTGCGGTCCTCATGACTTTAACAGTAAATTTTACAATTCACTGATCCCATGTTGATGTAAATATCATTCTGTGACATCTCTCTGGAATAGGTTTCCATATGTATTAGATAATTAAGAGGACAGTTAATTGCAGCTACGTTCTCTTATATAATCCTATAATATCCCCTACTGCTTGGTAACTAGGCTTACATGGCAAGGATTTGAAAACAAGCCTTGCATAAGTGTGATAAGAACATTCTTAATATTATCCCAGATCAAGTTCTAAATCTGTTTTACTTTATTATTTTTAAAACGTTATATTGACATCTGTTAATAGGGGCTTTTAAAAATCCACATAACAGAGCATTTCTGCTCTGTAAAACCACATAACTGATCCCACAATTGGGAAATAAATACTGCATAATGTTGGTTGAGTCTAAGGAACAGAGAACATCAATATCCAAACCCAGCAAGTGTCATTCTGTGTGCAAAAACTGGTACCCACAGGTAGTTTCTCTTCCACTATTCTGAGGCTTCAGCTTGAAAGAGAGGACTCTGCACCTCCATCCATTGTTTTGTGTTTCCAGCTCTGATCCAGAGATCATCTGCTGTGTTTGTGCTTCCTCTCCCCCCCCCCATCCCTCCCACCCTATAATGGAGGAGGGTGAACTCAGTGCAGGAAACCCCTTCTCTTGCCCAACCATCAGGGGCTTCACAATAAACTGAAGCCTATATGCATCTCTAGATTGGGGCCAGTTTCCCTACGATGGTGCACTAGCCAGCTTATCTGTGTTCTATAAGGAGATCAGCAATCTGACTTTGGAATCACAGAATCAAGAGCAAGTTGTACCTATAAAGGTGATTGTTATTTTCTGAATAAAGAGACATTTTTGTTGTTGTATAAAGCAAGGCCAGCAGGCACACCCATGAGACTCAATGAGGCAGTTGCCTAAGGCGGCAGTGTGGGGGGCAGCTGGGAGGATCAGCAGATCCTGGAGCCCCAGGAACGTCCTGATTGCCACCACCTTCGCTTGTCATCTGTGTGTTGCCTGGGAAGAGGGGACCACAGCTGCTGCTTGCTCCTCTGTGGTCTCCTTCATTCCCTTGCATCACCTTCAGCATGCCAGGGCTTCTCCACGTTGCCTCAGGCGGCAACAGCAGTGAGGGCGGCAGCATTTTCTGCTTTGTCTTAAGTGGCAAAACATCTTGGGCCATCCCTGATAATAAAGTTATGAAAGGGCGAAGGTAACCAGAGTTTCTCACCCTCTTCATTAGGTCCTTGCCGGTTGATTTTGACTGGCCTATTTGGCCCAATTAAGTGCATTGTTCTTCCTTGTTAGTGTAATGCGAACAGAAATCCTAGACCACAGTGTACTTGATATTTACGACTTGAAATCCTATCGTAAAGAGAAGACATTTTTCAAAGGGTTATCTGTAACCACTCAGTGAGATCACGGTGTTGGTTTCGTTCCCTGTAACATCTAGTAAATGGATGCCTGTCTCCAAATTTAGCCTGTAACCACATATCTGTTACCGAGGCAGGATAGGGGAGCCTGTCTAATTTTTCAGTGGTGTGCATCCTAGGTCTGGTTCTCTCTCTCTCTCTCTCTCTCTCTCTCACACACACACACACACACACACACACACACACACACACACTAACAAACATGCATCTCTTGATTTCTCTGTACTTGATAACTCTGCCCCTGAGGAAATTTCACATATTCCGTGGAAGGTGTGCAGAGAGAAAGGCAGAACCATTTACCTGTCATGCATCTGTTGCAATCTATAGGCTTGTCTATACGTTACTCTGAACACAGGAACACGCTGTCTCTACACATGTATTAGTGTTTGTGTGGGGAAAGTGTACATGCTGACATACCTGCTGCTCTGCTATTGTGTACACAAGTACACGGACTGTATGCTCATTGAACATTACATGTGAACAGTGGAATATAATAGTACAGCTCAAAAATCTGTGTTCTTGGGTTCACTTGTTGAATGCAAGGTGGGAATACTCCTTATGAAAAAAGAGCCTATGTTTGTACCAAAGCATTCACTCATGGGCTTTATACCAAGGTGGTGAAATCTCAGCTTCTGTTAGCCTTTCTGTCAGACCACTTTCCAAGTCACAACAATCCCCAAGCCACATGCCCTCTCCCTTAGCAATCCCCTGCACTATCCATAAAAGCTTTTGCCGGGCTGGAATGTGTCCTTGAACTGTGATAATAACTCTGCCTGTGTAGAGTATGGAGAGCTCTGTGTGTGGCTCAAGTGTAACCTCTGGTTCAGTAGTCAAAGTCAAAGATTGAGTATCCATTCCTCAATCCATTTTGGTCTCCGGCACCACCCACTTTTGACTCTGGCCCGGCCCACTACTGGCATGCACCCCGCTCCTGGAGGTGTCTCACAAGGGTATGTAGCCTTCAGACTGAAACAGGTTCCCCATCTCTGCTTGTGTGCACAACTTGGGGACCTTTCCGATGTAGAACCCTTGGTTGTGTGTACAGTGGTTATCTTCACAGATACTGATAAACACACATGGAGTGAGGATCAGCAAGCACAATCCTGCTACACACACACACACACACACACACACACTTTTAGGTGATGTTTGAAGAATCATACAGGCAGCTGTATGAACTTATGTCATAAAAATTTGGCATCTTAGGTCATATTAAATTCCTACTGGTGCTATTAATATTAATATTACTGGTGCTATTAATATTAATATTAATATCCATGGTGACCATTCACAAAAAAGTGGTCACTTGATGTTGCAGTCATCAATTGATATGCATGAATGTGTGAACCCTTCCCTCAGTTTGAGGCCCAGCATGGGCTGCAGAGAGTGTTTCTTAGACCTAGGAAGCCACCCTGCAGTCTACCCTCAGATCTTTAGAACTTGCCACAAGAAACATGGTTTGATGTAGGTTTGCAACCTGTGGTGATTACAAACCATGGTCTGGTATGATGTCTGAATTGTCAAACCTTAGTTACAACGGTTGCTCCATCTGCATGATCTGCTACACTAGATATGGGAGTGTTGTGCAGAAGGAAAACAGGAACTCTAAATTATGGTTTGCATGACTTGGAAATTTGAGCCATCGTTTTGGTTACCACAATATATGGTTTGGTGTGATGTCCGAACTAAGCCTTTGGCTACCTTCGGATGCAACAGTAAAATATTATTAAGCATTATTAGCACAAATCTCAAACAACTGCATTCTTCCTTCATTTCTCTTCCCCCAGCGTGACTAGGAGGAGATTAGAAGTTTTGTCTTCCATTTTTAACTAGTCATAGTTTATCACTAAGGTATTCTACTTAAGGTTTATCACTTAAGTATTCTACTTAAGCGTGCTTAAATTAATTGTACCCCTTAATGTCAGCAGGTCTACTCCAAGTAGGACTAGCATTCAGTACACCCCTATGTCTGTAAGCACAGATTAGTATTTGGACATAACAATAAACTGTTGTTAATTGAAAATAGAAGTGAAAGTGTCCAATTCCTTCCTCATAGCCACACTTGAAGAGGGAGAACACAAGAGCTCAAGGCTTGTGCACGTAACACTATGCCATAGTGTTACATCCAAACCAGGCCTTTTTCTTTCTGCGCTGAATGAGGTGCTTAATTTCCTACATTTCTGAAAGTTAGGATGCTTTAAAACAGGCATAGGAAAACTCCAGCCCT